GCCCAGCAGAACACAGTCTGAGAGCACAGGTCCTAGGGGTGACACATGGTACAGCCTCAGAAAAACAGGGGCCCACCATGGGCCTGAAGTGCTGGGGTCCAGTGGAGGGAAAGGGGGTGTGGTTGGTGCCCAGGTGGCTGGGCCGACAGAATCTGGTCAGGGAGTGGATGCCAGAAGCCACAGGCTAATTGGGTCTCCAGGGCTGGATGCTCAGGGCTCTGGGAGGACACGAGGAGACACAGAAGGATTAAGAGGTCCTGGGGCAACAGAGTCTGAACCAGATTTCTGGAATGGGTCGGGGAACTCTGGAGAAAAAGGACCCAGAAGAGACATGGGCCATAAGGATGGCTTAGGAGGTCTGGGGAGGATGAAGCCTAGGTATGGAGATGGCTTAAATTATTCCCGGGAAAAAGGTCCTGAAAAAGGGGCTGGTTATAGCGATGGCTCAGGGGTGCCAGGAGAAACGGGCTCTGGTCACTGTGCTGGTAGAGTCAGCTCTAGGGCCCCTGTGGAAACAGAGTCTGAGAAAGGGGGTACTTACAGGCATGGCTCAGGGGTGCCTGGAGGAATGCAGTCTGGAAACAAAGATGGTTGTGAGCCCGCAGGAAGGGGGCCTGGAGCGACCAGTCTCCAGAACGGCTCAGGTGGCCCTGATGGAGGGCCCGTGGGTGAAGCTGGGAATTGGGAATTATCCAGAGGCCAGGGGGAAATGGGCCCTGGGAGAGGGCATCCTTCTGATGATGACCTAGGAGGTCCTGGGACAGTGGGGTTTGTGGGTAGAGGTGGCCTCAAGTCGTCTAGAACAGTGGAAACTGTGGGGGAGGAACGCGTGGAAGCAGGAACAGGGGGCTCTGGAAGAATCAAGCCTCGGGGTCAGACTGGAGATGACGGGGGCTTCCGCGCTTCAGGGGCGCTGGGGGCCTTTGGAGAAAGAGGCTGTGAAGATGGGTCTGGGCATCCAGGAACCATGGAGTCTGGGTCTCTGAGGGCAGAAAGCATAGCGGGGGATGGGGACGGGACCAGGTACCTTGGTGCCAGGGCATCCGCAGCTGGAACTGGGCATTGGGACAATGCCAGGCACCCTGAGGCACTAGCTCCTCATGCTGGGGCTGGTTCTGGGAGCCAGTGGGCTTATGGGTCTGGCAATGTGCTGGGTCATGAGGATGGGTCACAAATGCCAGGGCCTCAGGGAACTGGGGGCAGAACAGCTTATGGAGGAGGGTCGAGGGATCTTGGGCCTGGGGGAGTGGAGCCAGGGAGTCAGGCTGGCTGTAGAGATGGGTCAGGGGGCCTCAGAGGGATGGGGTCAGCGGACGGGGCAGGTTATAGGAGTGGCATCAGGGGTTCTGTAGAAATGGGTTCTGCAGATGGGGCAGGCTATAGGAGTGGCATCGGGGGTTCTGGGGAAATGGGGTCAGCAGACAGGGCAGGTTACAGGAGTGGCATCGGGGGTTCTGGGGAAATGGGGTCTGCAGATGGGGCAGGTTATAGGAGTGGCATCGTGGGTTCTGGGGAAATGGGGTCAGTGGATGGAGCAGGTTATAGGAATGGTTTGGGGGCTCCTGAAGGGGTGAGTTCAGGGAGCAAGCCAGATATTAGTGATGGTTTAGGGGGTTCTAGAAAAATCAGGTCAGGGGGTGAGGCTGGTTATAGGAATGTTTTAGGGAGTTCTGGGAGGGTTCCGTTAGGAAGTGAGGCAGGTTATAGGGATGGTTTGGAGGATTCTGGGGGCACGTTGCCATTGAATAAGGCAGGTTATAAGGATGGCTTGGGGGGGCCTGCGGGAATCTGCCATTAAATAAGGCAGGTTATAAGGATGGCTTGGGGGGGCCTGCGGGAATGGAGTCAGGGAGTGGGGTCAATTATAGTGGAGGCTCGGGAGGGACTGGTGCAATGAGGTCAGAGGATGAGATGGGCTACGGAGATGGTTCAGGGAAGTTTGGAGCTCCAGGCTCACTGGCTGGAGCAGGACATGAGGCTGGACCCAGAGGCCATGCAGCCATGGGGCACAGGCCAGGATACTGGGTAGCATCAGAGGGTAGCAGAAGCTCTGAGGATGATCCAGAGAGGGGCAGAGGGAAGGGGCTTGTGGATGCAGCAGGTCCTGAGGTGGGCTCTGGGATGGCCAGAATGCTTGGCACTGCAGACGGCATAGCACACAGGGACAGCCCCAGGGGCCCAGGGATGTTGGGGACTCAGGGAGGGCCACAGACTCTCTCAGATGGGCAGGATTCCACAACTGGTCTTGGGGGCTATGAAACCTTGGGGATCCCTGAGGCCTTGGGGGCTGTTGTTGCAAGGGAATATCAAGCATCAGAGAGCGGCAAGATGGTTCTGGAATCCCAGGGTCCTCTAGTGACAGAGGGGCTGTCATGGGAGAGGGTGG